CTCCCTCCCTCTCCCCTTCTCCCTCCCCCTCTCCCCTACCTGAAACACTAACTGGTCTCTGGCAGGTCAACGGCCAAGGCCAATGGCACAATGAGTTGCGTGCAGTGATTTGCTTGACAGCACCCCCTTTATTGCTTTCCCAGGCTCACCTCCCAGTGGTTCCTGGGGTGACTGTCAAACACACATGCACCTGGATCCTTGTCTCGGGGTCCGTTCAGTGGGATCCTAAGAACAGGAGCCACTCCCGAATCTCTCACTCATGGTTCCGTATGAGGGCAGCGATGCCCCTAGTGTCCCAAGGGGAAGCTGGGTGCCCCTGACCTCCAGCTGGGCAGGGGCCTCCCTATGGCTGAGCCCCCTGGAAGGGTCTGTTCTGGGGCGAGGGAGCCAACCCCACGCTCTGCTGCACCCTGCCCCGACCTCCCAGGGTCCGGACTTCTCAGAGTTTCCTGGTGCCGGTTCTTGGCCCCTCGGCACAGGCCACACACACACCCAGTGCTCAGGAGCCTCGGCCTGACGGGCGTGGTCCCGCAGCAGCAGGCCCAGCCCGAACCCCTGGAGCCTGGTACAGGGGGTGGGGGGCTCTGCTCCCAGCTAGAGGGAGGCAGGGGGGCTTGTCTGGGGCGAGTCCTCCAGAGACGTCCGTGAGTCTGTCCCCTCTGAGGAGGAGCTGCCCCCGGTGGGATGGGGGACCTGCCTCTGCCTGGGGAGCCGCTGCCAGGAGAAGAGGGAGGTGAGAAGCCGCTCCGGGGCAGGATCCAGGGGTTCGCGAGGGCCCTTGCCTTCACCAGCCTCTGTGGCCTGGCCGGCGTCCAGGGGCAGAGGGCCTGCCTGGAGACGTCTGTTCTGCCCCCCTCTCTCGGCCCGAGGAGGCCAACGGGGTTTTGGTGACCGATCCAGGCCCAGGGAGTCCTGGAAGGGTGGGTCCCGCCGTCCCTTGGAAGTGACGTCTCCATTCACACCTTGGCCTTTGGCGGCGGTCCGTTGTAGTTCCAGCTGTGCCGCGTGGGCACTGGGGCCCAGTGGGCACTGACAGTGGGCCAGTGCCTTCGTCAGGAGGGTCTGGATCTCCCCATGTCTCACCTGGGCCTCCTCCCACAGGTCCTGGCCCAGGTCCTCCTGGCTCAGCGAGGCCACCTGCAGCCCCATGGCCGTGAGCTTCTCAGCAGGGAACTCGGACGACAGCCGTTGCAGGTAGCGGTGGAGGCGGCGCTGGCCCCCGGGGCTGGCCTTTGGGTCCTTGCCCAGGCTGAGCTGGGTCATCAGGTCCTGACAGTCCATGTGGAACCAGGCCATCTGGGAGACAAGAGAGGGAGGTGGGGTTCAGGCTGGGAGTGGGGCCGGGGGCGCTCCGTGAGGACAGGATGGGCCCCTCCGAGCAGAGCGAGGACTCGGAGACTAAGCGTGGCTGGATTGGCTGGGTTACATCAGTAACACGCCCCCAAGCGTTAGCCCCCTCAGGTGGCCGTGACTTCCTTTTCCCAGGTGATGACAATGGTTCCCTCTCTTCCCCACGGCACACACACCTGCCGCTGGGAACAGTCCCCAGCACCCTGGGAACCTCGGGTACCCATGGGCCAGTGGGGACTTAGGCCTCCCTGAGACTCAGTTTCTCCTTCTGTAAAATGCAAGGTGTACTAGGTGATCATAAAAACCTTTATGAGAGCTGAATATTCAGGTTCTTGGATTGCATTAGCCCCTTAGGAGTGGTACTCAGGGAGGAGTCTAGCTAACGTTATTGAGCACGGCCTGTCTGCCAGGCTCTTTGTGTCTCCGGTCTGATCGCACGCAACTGTACCAACAGCCCATTTGCCAGAGGAAGAAACCGAGGCCCAGAGACGTGAAATCCTTTGCCCAGGTCACACTGCACGTCAGGGAGGAGCTGGGATTTGAACTCAAGTGAGTATCATCCAAGCATCTCCTTGCGCAGGAGAAACTGGCCCAGACAGCGAGACCATCAGCCAGCCCAGGCCCAGCGGCCCCCTCGCTCCAGCCCCTCTGCCCCATTTTGGGGTTCTGCTGTCCCCGCTTCACCTGCAAAATGTCTGCAGGCTGCAGAGGGGCCAACACATTCCCAGCAGCTCGTGAAAAACATCATCTTTCTCTCCATTAATTTAGAAGCTGACAGCGAGCTGTTAGGCTGTGGGGATTGGAGAAGCATTTTCTCCGAGGAAACCATCTTTCCGTGGATTAAGGGAACTTGTCTTTAGATAAATGGCTTCATATTCGCGGAGGCTCACGGAGCTCATGGCTGGGAAAGGGCTCCATAAATCTCCCTTAGCGGCGCAATCGTGTTATTATTATTTAGTGCCAAAGCTGCGGCACGCAGGCTCTCCGCCCAGGGCTGGGCCCAGCACTGAGCTGTCCTGTCTGTCTGTCTGTCTAGGACTCCATCTTCTAGGCCGAGCTGGACAGAGATGGATAACACCTCAGAAATCATCTCGCCCCAACCCTTGCTGTGCAGATTAAAATTCAGGGCCAGGGAGGAGAGGGGGCTTGCCCAGATCAAGCAGCGAGAGATGACCATGGTGGGACTTCAGGTCAGCTGGACCTCATGTACGATTTCTAGTCCTGGGTCGGACTGCACGTTCCCACACACATCCACAGCCCTCCTCCTCCTCCTGCCACCTGGCCAGCCTCCCCTCCCCCCAGAGTTCACCAAGCCCCCTGCTGGTCTTGCTCTGGGCATGGTGGACCAACCTGGTTGCCATCTCTGGAGCTCACCTCACAGGTGGCAGACAAGAGAAGAGCAGGTGATGAAGTAACAGGATAATTTCAGATCACAAAGGGCCAGGAAGCAATAAGCACAAGGTGATGAGAGAGAATGCGGGGGTCAGATTAAAATTCAGGGCCAGGGAGGAGAGGGGGTTTGCCCAGATCAAGCAGCGAGAGATGGCATGGTGGGACTTCAGGTCGGCTGGACCTCATGTACGATTTCTAGTCCTGGGTTGCCGTGCACGTTCCCACACACATCCACAGCCCTCCTCCTCCTCCTGCCACCTGGCCAGCCTCCCCTCCCCCCAGAGTTCACCAAGCCCCCTGCTGGTCTTGCTCTGGGCATGGTGGACCAACCTGGTTGCCATCTCTGGAGCTCACCTCACAGGTGGCAGACAAGAGAAGAGCAGGTGATGAAGTAACAGGATAATTTCAGATCACAAAGGGCCAGGAAGCAATAAGCACAAGGTGATGAGAGAGAATGCGGGGGTGGGGGGGGCACGCAGGTATGAGGAGGTCGGGAAGGGTCTCTGTGAGTAGAGGACAGTGAGCTGAGCACTGAAGAAAGATAAGAAGCCAGCCAGTCGAGGGGAAGAGCATTCCAGCTGAGGGAAGAGCAGTGCAAAGCCTCAGAGCTGGAGCATGTTCGGTTTCTCCAGGGAGGGCCAATGTGGCTGAAACCGACGAGCAAGGAAGAAGGTGTGGGGTTATTCACAGTCAATCTAATTCTCTCGGCAAGGAACCTGGCAAGGCTGGCACTAGAGCCAGATGGTCGGGTTCGAACCTCAGCTCTGCCACTTCCTAGCTGTGTGGCCCTGGGTGCTCTGACCGCTCTGTGTTTCCTTGTGCACAAAATGGGCATAATAATAGTACCGGCCTCATTGGGTTAGTGTGACCACACAACTATGTGCAAATGACTGAAACCAGGGCACATCATAAAGCATTATTGTTACCATCGTCACTGTCATCGTCATCATCATCATCGACGAGAAGCTGAGGCCCAGAGCAGTGAGGCTGTCTTTGAAGTCACACAGCCCATCTGTACATATAAAAACCTAAGCTACTGAATGACTGAACCACTGGTTGACTGGTCTCTATAACACACACTGACCACCAGGGGGCAGACGCTCAATGCAGGAGCTGGCCCCCTGGCGGTCAGTGCACTCCTATAGCGGGAGTGCTACTCAGCTGACCAACCCATCCAGGTGGCCCACCAGCCTGACAGCAGCCACTCCCTCCCTCAGTAGTCCTGCAGGTACAATCTCCGGAGAAGGGGCCAGGCACTGGCGGACAGGCGCTGCCCTCACAATCCTGACAGCACCGCTGGCCTCCTGGAAGTGGCCTTGGGTACTGCAGCTGCTTCCCCTCCCTAGACACTCCACAAGGAAGAAAGGATATAAAAGCGGCCACCAGGTGGCTCCCGGCAACTGGCGCAAAGGTCAGCGGGACAGATCCAGATCCTGGGCCAGCAAGGGCATCCCACTGCTTGCCCAGAGGGCCAGTTGTGTCCCACCCCCCTTCCCGCCCCTCGGGACAGGCACCAGACGCAGGGCTCATGGCTGGCGAGCGCTGCTATGGCAGCCGAGCCTCTCCCAATCAGTACTGACTGGGCAGGAGCCTGCGGCAGGCACAGTGGGGCCGGGATGAGTGGGAGCAACAGGCGGCGTTGGACTTCCAGTTTCAGCCCAATCCCCACGGGCCACACTGAGGGACCCCACCTGTGCACAAATTTGTGCACCGGGCCTCTAGTACAAGCGTAAGCTGCCTCGCTCTCTAAAGTCTGTACAGCTGGGAGTAGGAGATTCCTTTGCTGTCACGGCCCACATCTGCCTCCCTTGCCTGCTGCCCCGGGGAGACAGAGAGTGGTCTGTCCTCCCAGAGCCCCTGGCATGGTTGACCGGAGTCCCTCCCACTGCCCTCAGAAACATGCTGTGTTCTCTGTCCCGTGTGATGGGCAGGCCTGACAGCTGGGAGTCTGGGGTCAGGCTCTTCTCACGCTCTGTCCTCAGTGGTGGGGGACAGCTGAGGTCACTGGGCCTGGGCCAGAGAGGTGGGTTCTTGTTCCAACTGGGTCACAGCTCTCCCAGGCTAATCCCCATTCTCCCAGGCCTCAGTTTCCCCATCAGAAAATGAGAAACTTGGGAGAGATTTAGAAGAGGTGAGGGCTCTAAAGTCAAATCCTGCTTGACCATCAGCCTTCTGGGGGACCTTGAACCAGCTACTTTCCTCTTTGGGCCTCAGTTTTCTCATCTGTAAAATGGAAACAATGTTGGCACCCCTCCCTCATAAAGATCTGGTGCGAATTCAGTCAGGCAGGTTTGTGAAGCACTTACAGGAGGCTCTGACATGAGTACATAGTCAACACGTAGGCTATCCTCATAATAATCACCTAATCATCACCATCATCATCCTGGCTTAGACATGGCTAATTGGTTGTCATTCTCCACCTATCTCCCCACCTTTGGAGAACAGAGAGCATGTTATAGGGCATGGACACATCTACGTTCACATTCCAGCTCTTCTTTTCTCCATCTATGTGGCTTTGGGCAAGGCCCTTTCCCTCTTTGGGCCTCAGTTTCCTCATCTGTAAAATGGGCTAATCAACCTTGCCACATTGGGTTGCCAAGAGATGATAGATGCAAAGTTATGGAGTTCCTCTTGCCTCTCACCCCGATACTCTGTGCTTGTCCCCCACCCCCACCTGACCATGGTAGTCCTACCCTCTCCTCCACCCTCTGGCCGAACTCCAGGTTCCCAGCTAGGACTGAGGCCCCTGTTCTGAACATGCCACCCTCAGCCAATGGTCCCTCCCTCCTCTGCTGGCGCCATCTGTGCAGGTAAGGCATGGGAGAAAGCACTAGAATGGTGCCATGGGCTTGCTGTGTGATCTCGGCTAAGTGACAGCCCTTCTCTGATGCTGTTTCTCCAAATCTGCAACAGAGAGGTGAGGTAAGATCAAGGTCACCTACAGAGATCTGTGTGTGGGGAGAAAACCTGTGCTATTGGTTGGATTCTCAGAAATCCCTAGGCTCCTTTCCCTAATCCCAACGTTTAAGAAGCAGGTGAGCCCTAGGTGGTTTGGCTCAATGGGTAGAGCGTTGGTCTGTGGACTGAAGGGTCCCAGGTTTGATGCCAGTCAAGGGCACATGCCCTTGTTGCAGGTTCAATCCCCAGTAGAGGGCATGCAGGAGGCAGCCCATCCATGATTCATTGATGTTTCTATCTCTCTCTTCCTCTCCCTTCTTCTCTGAAATCAATCTAAAACATATATTTTTTTAAAAAGAAGAAGCAGGTGATATCTGAGGGTCACTGGGAGGTTGCCTGGTGTAGTGGGTTAAACTGGGTCAGGGACCAGCTGGACTTGGATTTAGGTGAGTGACTTGACCTCTCAAGCTGCGCTTCCCAGCTGGAAAATGGAGGTGACGGATGATGGAACGAGCATGCAAAGAGCCTAGTGTGTGCCTGGGCTGCTCCCTGCCTCCCAGCTGGAGGGTGGGCCGTGCCGGTGGGCCGCAAGGCTCACCTTCTTGCAGAAGTGGTAGAGCTGGAGCAGCGTCTCCAGGTCCGTGCGCTGCCGCTCAGCAGCCATGTAGAAGTGGGTCAGCTTAGCCTGGAAGGTCCGCTGCCTGGAGGCGAAGGCAGCCAGCTCCGGGGGCTCTGTTCCTCCCGCCTCGCGGGCCCCTCCCGCTGAGGCTCCCAGCTGGGCCGCCTGCTTGGACAGCTCCAGGCCTTGCCGGTACTGGGCCTGTGTGAGGAGGGGGGCATCGCTCAGCTCCTGCCTTAGCTGAGGCCTCCTACTGCCCTGCTGCTGAGCGATGAGGTTTCCCATGCCTCAGTTTCCTCATCTATACAACGGGGCCCCAGGCCTTTGCCGAGGCAGCGTACTTCTCCTAGCTGGGACCCTGCTTAGAGTCACCCTCTTCTGGAAAGCTTCCTGGCCCAGAGTCTTCAGGTCCCCACAATCTCCCCTTTCTGTCTGTTTCTCTGTTTGGCCCCCACCTCCATCCCCCACTGTTCTGGGAGTTCCCCAAGGGATTCTGAGATGAGTCGGCTTTGGACTTGGGGTCCCTGAAGCTTCCCGGAGGAGAGAGCATCTAAGCTGAACCCGTTATATATCCAAGCCGGTCACCTCACCGCCTCCGGAAGTCTTCTCGCACTTGCCCACCTCCACACCTTGGCCCTGGCGCGCCGCCCCCTCCCGCCCTCTCTGCGTCTGTTCCAGGCCTGCCCCCCAGTCTCAGGGACTCACTGCAGCCTGCAGGAAGAAGTCCTCAAATTCCAGGTGGGCTTTCTGCACTGTCTCCAGGCTCCCGTCCTTGGGGGTCAGCGCTTGCAGGCGCCGGCTTCCTTCCTGCTCCATCCAGTTGCTGACCTGGGGAGGGGAGGGAGGTTTGGACACGAGGGGCTCAGGTCCTGGCACCAGAGCAAGTGCCTGGCTGGGGCAGGGCCTGGAGCGGAAGCCCCCATGTCCCAGGCCGCCTCCCCTTTCACCTGGTGGATGGCAGCTTCCAGGCGGCCCATGCGGACGCGGAGCTCGAGCCTCCCCAGGAGGTGATTAGATGTGGTGACCAGGACATGCAGCTGTTCGTCCACGAGGCTATAGAGGGCAGTGGCTTCGGCCAGATGGCTCCTAGGAGGCAGTGGAGGGTGAGAGAAGGCCCAAGATGTGCCCCCACCCCAATACTCCTGCCCAGTATAGGCCTGCCTCGCCCCCCATCTTCCAGCGAGTCTGTGGCCCAGACCTGGGTATTCTAGCTGCCGATTGGCTGTGTGACCCTGAGCAGGTCCGAACACCTCTCTGGGCCTCAGCTTTGGTCTACATGGGACTGGGAGGACCATCAAACACAGCAGACACCAAATGACACTCCCTTACCTAGGAGGGTATGAACCAAACTGAACAGATCTGGGTTCAAATCCCAGCCCTGATACCTTCTTGTCATGGGACCTAGTGCAAATTTCTCAAGCATTCTGTGCCTCTGTTTTTTCATCTCTCAAAAGTGGAGATGACAGAATCCACTTCACAGACTGCTTGCAAGGGTTAGATGATCTAACTCCTGGACTCTCCACCCTGGCTACATATTAGAACCTGCCCTGGGCGCTTAAAAAATCTCGATGCCCAGGCCCATCCCAGGCCCATCGAGTCAGGTCTGAACGCAGCCTGGACCCCAGTGCTTCCTAAACCTTCCCAGGAGCCAGGCCTGAGAACCAGCCCTCCTGCATTCAAAGCACTTCACACAGGGCTGGGCATACAGTGTTTGCTGGCACTTGTTATTTCTATTGCAGTGATAGTGAGTAGCTGTAACATCGCCTCGCCAGTCTCCATTTTACAGATGGGAAAACTGAGGTCCAGAGAGAGGGACTGACTCTCAGGTATGGCAGTCTGAATTGGAACCCAGTCCATAGCTTTTTCTGAACATTATTTTTAAAAACGGACAAAGCCAGGAATACATAAATGGACTGTGGACAGGACCCAGGCGTGGTAACACTTGGGTAAAGGGAGGCTTTTCCGACACCCCTCAAATCCCACCCACCCTCCTCTGCTCACGGGTGGTGGTGGTGGTGGAGTGGAGGGGGGTGGAGTGGAGGGGAGTGTCTTACTTCAGGAGGAAAAGGAAAACGGGGAGATGGAATGGAAGGATGGCCTGCTTGTCTCGCTCTGGGCCTCCCCATCTAACTGATACTCCTCGCGGGTCCCTGCCCTTCCAGGTGAGGGCCCAGGCTGCGTGAACCTGATGGAAAATGCCAGCTTGCCTGGCGGAGGGAAGAGGGGGGTGGGGGGTGGGGTAGGCGAGAGCTGCAGGGACCCAGCAGCCGAACAAACACGCACAGCGGCTCACACGGGACCACAGCGCCCCCTGGTGGACCTGCCAGTGGTCAACGGCCTGGAGGGACCTCTGGTGACAATAGGGGCCTGGCGCTCAGCCAGGGAGATGGAATATTCTGGGAATCACACGTGAGGGGCAGGGTGAGGACTCCACACCTGGTACCAGGGCCCTGCTGCCCAGTGCGCATATCAGCATGACTTTGCCTGTGGCACAGCTCAGGGTGGTGTGTTCAAATTTCTGGGCCAAGTTGCCTGGGCTCAAGCCCTGGCCCCACCACATCCCAGCTCTGTGACCCTGGGCAAGTCGCTTAGCCTCTCTGAGCCTCAGGCCCCTCCACTGTAAGATGAGAATACTGCTAGGTTCACCACATGGGTGGGAATTAGACGAGTTACTATTTGTAAAGCCTTTAAAACAATATTGTGCGCATACTACGTGCTATTTAGGTGCTGGTTAAATAAACAAATTGTCCTTGAGTTTATGCAGACTTTGTGTTCTAACAGAGACAAAGAAATTTCCAATTACTGGCTGATTTAATTACTGATTTGCCCCTACACCACCCCTCAATTTAGGAAAATTGGTACTTTCTAGGAATTGCTTTTGCTGTGGCTCTGAGACCTCACACACCGTGAGGTTCTCCTGGCCAGGCTCAGCTCAGTGTCTGGGTGAGAGATTGCCTGGTCCATGAGTGTGACCGGAAACAGGCAGGGCTGTCCTTCAACGCCCACCCCGTCTGAAAATGACTGGGGCTGAAGGAGGGCAGCAGAGAAGGGACAGGATATGGGCCCTGCACACATCCCTATCCTGGGCACATCCCTATCCTGGGCACATCCCTATCCTGGGCATATCCCTATCCTGGGCATATCCCTATCCTGGGCATATCCCTATCCTGGGCACATCCCTATCCTGGGCACATTCCTATCCTGGGCACCTGCCGGGCCCACCCTATGTGTCCCCAGCTCCAAACTCCCATCCAGGAAGCAGGTGGGGTGGG